AGGTGCACTTTATTTATCCCCGTAGGGCAATTCATCCTCTGCATTTGACCCATCCTGATGCTGCTAAGGTTTACGTCAGGAGCAGCGGTCACCGTAGGAACAGCGCCCGGGAACCAATCTCCAGATGTTGATGCTTGGCTTGGTCAGGACTTCCGGAGCTGTAGGATTTTACCTATTGTACACGTTTTTATTTATTTATTTGATATGGACACAACAGTTACATCGGGCAGACCAGATGCACTGCCTTTAGTGTTATAGCAATATTATGCTAATTTTCAACACCTGTCCATAGAAGGCTTTTAGGACACAAATGCACACATTTTAAATTTACAAATATAAAAATAATTCAATATACAGTTCATTGAACACCGTTGTTCTGATTTCAGCCACAGTTTCAGACGTCTGACAAAGATGTTTAAGTGGTAGGGGAAACCGGAGGAAACCTATGCAGACACAGGAAGAACAAGCAAACTCCACTCAGAAAGACCCTGTTACAACCGGGATTCAAACCCAGGACCATTTTGCTGAGAAGCGAGAGTGCTATCCACCGTGCCGCAGCATTTAATAGTACCAGCAAACTCTTGCCTTGTGAATTAAAGTCCCATTTTGATGACATCCTCACAATAGAGCATGTATTATCATATAGTCTATAACATTATATTTCCCTACATATACTAATACAGTACCTGGTTGTAAAGATCAGCCTTTTTAGAATCCAGCCGCTTACTATACTGACATTTGTATTTAATTGTGACACCAAAATTCCTTATATGGTGCTAATGTAGCTGTGGTGTGAATCAACGTGGACATATCCTACTCCATTTTAAAGCACAGAACACTCCGAATCCAGTCAAAACAGATTAACAATCCATGTCGTTGCCCCCTGGACAAGTCTGGAGAACTAATGTGGCTCCTTTACCAAATACCCCTGCTCTAGACAGACAAACCTAGATTCAACACAGACACTAGATGAATCTCAGCGTCATTAGCCCATATGCACAAGCAGAACGATGAAAGCTCTGAGCTCCTCACAATAGGCACACTTCATTTCTGAGGGACAATAGCAGGACTCTATTGGAGCGAGTGCATTAGCCGGCCAGCCCATTATTCCTCTGGTCACGGCTGCATTGTGTCCTACTATACACGACTTCCATGCATTACGTGGCTTTTGTGCGCATATGCCCTCCTGTTTGCACACCTGTGACTGACAATCCATGATCCGCACTGTACATCTGGGCTTTCTGATTAGACTTATTGATTGGTATGTTTGCGGACACTCCCGGTCGCACACAAATAGCCAATAACACGCAGCGCAGATCATACTATCCATCACGTGAGCGCTCCAGCCTGCGTCAGCTTGTGTGCCTCCCTAATTGGCTCCTAAGCCTCTTAAGTAGCTGCCACCGCTCAAGTGGAGCTGGCCGCCTGCTATAAACAACATGAAACAACATCACAGTAAAGCATATTACCGAGCTGCGCAATCGACTCAAATCATCATACAGACACGGCACTGAAAATGTGGTTGGTTTTTAGTGTTTGACCATTTAGCAACAAAGTCTGGGTTCATACATTTGCACCAACATAACACTGCTTCCCATTACCCAATCTATACATATGCTTATCCGGTGCCATATTCAACCTACTGTATTTTAGTCATTTACAAACAAAACATGGACCCATTTTGGCCAATATAAGGCAGGCAGTGGTTTTTATTGGGTGGTGGTACATTTTGTTCTTTGCCTTTTTTTAAAGTGTAAAAAGTGTTATGTGAACGGGTGTAGTATGGACTATTTCTACTGACTAACAACCACAGAGATTAAGGTATTAAAAAAAGAAAAGATGCCATCAATGTGAACATGTAAACATTTAGATAAATCTGAATATTTTGAAGAGCACTGTTCTAGCTTCTTCCCTCTGGCAGAAGATATTGTTCGCTGAGCTGCAGGACATCTCGTTTTGCTAACAGCTTCTTTCCACAAGCTTGTATTGAAACTGTTTTAGTCGATCGATTTCACAGCGTCACTTGTTTACTGTTTTGTTGGATTTAATTCTGTACTTCTAACCTTGTTCAAATTATGTACTTGTCTTGTGCACACTGGGGACTTTAGCAAATATATTCCAATGTGGTTTTACTGCAAATGGCAACTAAAATGAATCTGATTCAAAACACAGAAATGACAGAAACTGATTCCATAGTTCAATTGATTCAGAATTCTTAGATTTCACCTGTATGGTCATCAGAAAATCCAATAATTGATTAGGATTGTAGGATTCGAACTGTTTTTACAAATTTTTACTTTGGAGTTTACATCAGTTGACTTTAGCAAACAGAATCAACATGGCTGCAGGCGGTGTGTAGGCAGGATTACATGTTTGGCATGAACTAATACAAAAGGATATTGTCTTTTAAACAGCCTGTATCAGACACAAATGTGTAAAAGCAGCCCAAGACGTTTAAAGACCCACTGCTTTCTACTTCTCATTCTAAAGAATTATCAGGTGAAAAGATGTGCATGTACTTTAAAGGTGATGGTTGCTTGGTTTTTGAAAGTTGTGGAAAGTGTTTTTTTTTTTAAATAAAATGGAAAAAAGGGAAATGCAAATAGGATGATAAAAGAAATCAGGTCCAGGGTTTTAATTGACAAATCTCTGACAAACTCCTGACAAACAGTATCACCCAAAACACTTCCAGTTCACCTTTGATGACAGCGAGTCTGATTATCTTGGGTCTAATATGAGCGTTGGAAGCAGACTGGCAGCAGCTTTGTGGAGTCTGGCAGAGACCGAGCGCCACTCAGCGGGGAGCACTCTGCTTTGGTTTGATAAGAGCCACCGGGGCAGTAGCTTCATCCAACAGTGGGCCAGACGCCATCACGGAACCACGGCTTTCCGCTACATGTACGGAGACTGGTGACGTCCGACCGACAGAACGCCATAAAATCAAAGAGTTAAATATTCAAAGCAAACTCTTAAAGCTATGGTCCTTTTAGCAACTTTCTCTGACACGATGAACTATGTTTCAATCATGCATTAGGTTCATGGTTTATTAAGCTCCACATGAAAGTGAAATCTACCTGAGTATGAGGACAATCTTCCATAATGGATTAGGGTCGGCAATATCAACACAAAGATCCTGGTATATTCACTACAAGAAGAATTTATTCAATGGTTTTACATGATAATAAAACCAGAATCACCAAAATTGTATCAAATTATGTACTTGCAAATCAGCTAATCTTTTCCCATTAAATTCAAGTTTCACAAACAGGTCCAATCCCAAAAAGTAATATACAATTAAACATGTACACAGCGAGTGAGCAATTCGGGCGTTCTGCTCTCCCAAAATTCCATCCGATGGGCGGGGGAGCGACTGAATTTTGCGTTGCATTATGGGTAACACTTGCCTTCGCAACTTCCGGTTCTCTCTGCCCGGCGCATTTTCTCTAAATGGTTGAGCGTTTTCGTCATTTTCTGTATGCAAATACATTCCCGTCTCTAACTAGTGGCATATCGCGCAAATCATCCGTCCAATTCACATTCTTCCCTCTTAGCTGAACTTCATTCTCATTGTTACCATCTGTCACTCGCACACACAGCCGTTTTCGTTCACTCTGCTCGCTGTCATCTTCTTCTAAATCTTCATAAACACCATCCGCTCGTTGAACTAGCAACAACAATTCCTCCTTTCGTTTTCCCACACTGCAAATACCCTTTCGCTTCAACCTTTCACGCAATTCAGGCACTGTCAATCGTTTGTTGTTTTCGTGAGCCATATTCGCCATTGTATGAAATCAACCGGAAGTGAACTGGGCAACAAACGGTGTCATTTTTTGATCACAGCGCCGCTCAGTGGATGAAATTTTTGGAGAGCAGAACGCCCGAATTTTGTGTTGTCATGCAATTACATCATTCTTGCAATTAAAAGCAAACATAATGACGAGGATTGCTTCAGCATCAAGACAATAGAGAGATTGAGTAGTTAAAAAGGTTGAGTACATTTAGTGCAATAAAAATAAAGGGGGAGTCATGGATAAACCCATCCTCCTCCTCCCCGCTCATCTGAAAGCCATCTTTTCCACATGGCAGCCCCTGTCTGTATGCAGTATTCAAGGCCTAATGGAGGGGAGCTAAGTCCTTGGCTACATGGAGAATAAATGATGTACTTTCTTGAGGGGATGCATTGCTACCAGCTTCAGTCTACGTGTATGTTTTGATGGAATTTATTGGAACAAAGGGCGCATGGAAGCTCCACAGAGAAGTTTTATGCTATTTTAACAAACAAACAACACAATTCTTGCATGTATTTAAATTATGTTTATGGGGTGGGAGTCTACACGTTTTTACTTCCTCCCCACTCCATTTCGAGCTGACAAATTGGAAATAGAGGTTAATTTGTAAATACATATTGATTCTGTACAACACATGGTGAAACTAGGGTAATTATTGTTGCTTGACTGTATAGTAATGTTAATACATTTATGAGTATATGCTGTAAGCACAGAAGGCAACCTGTATAAAAGGTCGTGTAAACTAAGGAATGTAAATATTGTAAATACTTATGATTGTAACATTTCTGCTCGAATAAATACAAAAATCAAATCAAATCAAATCAACTATAATTAAAAGTAAAATGTGTTAAAGCAACAGCCAAACGCATAACTAGATAGACGTTTCACATTTATTCAGTGAGAATCTGAAACAGTCTCCCTGAAAATGTGAGAGAGGCGTCTACTCTGACAAATGTTCAAATCCAGGACCCAATGCACTGTGGTTATTTATTATTTAAATCCCTTATGTGATTTTAATGTTTTAATGGTTTTAATTACCTGAGTGAGTTTAATTGTGTTTTTAATGGTGATTTTGGCGTTTGTTTTATGTGATGATTTGTGCCTTGTGTGATGTGGACTGTGAAGCGCTTTGTGTTGCCCTCTGTAGGAAAGGCGCTCTACAAATGAAGATTGATTGATTGATAGACGGTTCTTCACCAAAAAGAGACTTACTTTTGACGTTGAGGTACATGGACTTGCTGACGTCTGCGCCCACGTCGTTGCTCACTCTGCACAGGTAGAAGCCGCTGTCTTCCTCCAGAACATGTTTGATGAGCAGGGAGCCATTGATCAGAACCTCGATACGGGAGCCAGGGTTCAGAGGGATGGGTTTGAACTGAGGGACACCAGCACCTGCCAAAAACCAACAGGCCATTTTTAAATAGTTTACACGACGATATACAATGCATCAGGACAAACATAGTGACATGTGCAGGATTCAATCTAAAAGAAGAACACATTCAACAGCACTTGACAAGAGCAATCCAAAAGAGTATGGATCAGAAGTATTCCTGTATTTGTGAATCAAGGAGGACAAATGTATATTGCCAATATAGAACCAAATTAGTATGAAAGAATAAATATCAAGCATTGTTAGCGGAAAAATTGCCAAAACAAATTCATAGGCAATGCTTTTGTTTTAAAAGGCAGAGACATGCTAACATAGTGGAGCAATTACAAGGACTGGATTAGGAGAAGGTTTGTGCCAGAAGATGCTGATATACTGTAAGCATGGATGGAACTAAAAACAACTCCAGGTCTGTGCTGGATGAGGGAACATTATTGAAACCTGCTTAAAATTTTCAATTCAAGCCAATTTTTGCAGCCACTTCCACGGAGAGATAACCAGTGTTTTCGTAAGCTCTTGTTTAGACTTGAGGTGGGAGTTTTATGCATTCTGCCTGCGGGCTGTGGACATTGGGTTTGTTTTGTTAGCGTTCAAAAACACATTGTCTGCAAAGGATCCGCTTGCCTAAGGACAAAAATGTTCTACTCATTCAGCGTGTTTGTCAAACCCGTGGAAACGCAGATCTCTATGAACATCAAAACAGGCAAATGTTATCAGCCTCTTCACAGGAGAGGGAGAAGTAACGAGGAGTCTGAAACGGTTTTGGTTGATGGATTTCACCGTGTCATTTGTTTCCTGCACTTTTTTTTGGGTTTGTTTTGATCTTGTACCTTTAACCTTGTTTGCTTTTGTACTTGTTTGTTTATGTAGTTAATTAGAATAGCTACTGTTCACTTGTGCTGTGTGCTCCTCATTCCTACTGTTCTATAACTGAAATTTCTCTTCTTTATCTTTATCTTGTGCACATAGGGGACTTTTGCACACGTATTCCAATAGGGTTTTACTGCAAATGGCAATTAAAATTAATCTGAATCCGAGTCGCAAATAAATTGTCTTCACACAAAGCCATAGCTGTGTACAGTAGTAAGAACAGGTATGAACTACTTTAAGACTGCACAAAATACCAAAAAACAAAATTCGCTCCCACCTTTCGAATACTCCCATTGGATCGTAGGGACTGGGTATCCTTCAGCAGAGCAATTCAATATCACCGATTTCCCGTAGATGCCGTCTTGGTCTTTCGGTTGCACGACAAACTTTGGTGGAACTGAAACGTGGAAAAACCCAACTCAAATTAATATCTGTAGGTTAATAATTCAATAATGATAATATTTTCAGTACAGACCTCGGACTATGAGCTGGCTTTGGTGCTCCACGGCGGCGGCCTGGTTGCGGGCGATGCATGTGTAGTTGCCGTTGTGCATGAGGGTCAGGTTGGAGATACGGAGGGAGCTGGTGAAGTCTATGTTGTCGATGGTGACTCCGAGGCTGGCGGGGATCATGCGCCCGTCTTTCTGCCAGGTGATGAAGACGGGCTGGTCTCCGGACATGACCACACACGGGATGAAGACCCGCTGACCGATGGAGAACCGCGGGAACTCGAATGGATGGATGGTAGGGGGCACTGGAGAAAAGGTTTATTGGAATCTTAGAAGTGTGGTTATTATGATCTCAATCATTTGAATTGAGTAAAGAACGAAACTGTCAATTCAGATTCATGCAGCTAAAACCTGGAACAGTCGTCTAGAAAACGTGAGACAGGCTTCTTCTCTGACAATCTTCAAAAATCCAGGATAACAACTGAAGGATTTTATCTTTACAGTGATTATTTAGATTTTAATGCCTGTGTGATTGTTTCTATTTTAATTAGCCTGTTCATCCGCTCTGGGTCTCCCCGAGTTTTTATTTTTTTATTTCTCTTCCTCTGGGGTTTTGAGTTTTTCTTGTTGATTCAGGAGGGTCTAAGCACAGGTCCTGATCTGGGGCATTGAACACATTTACGGACATTGCTTTAATCTGTTATCCTATGGACCAATGACACAATATGTTATTGTTGTATTTTGTATGCATTCTAATAATCTAATCTGCAGTTGGGGAATCAACAATTCTGTGTTGTCCCTTGATACGTCCCTCGATACCACTGCATATGTACAGTATGATGCTATGTGTTCTGGTATCTTGCATCTTATGTTCGACCGGGTGATAGGGGATGAGAATTTTTTAATACATATATCATCCAATTCTTTTTCAAACTATGTTAATGAAATCCATGTGAAGATTTGTAAATGTATGTGTGTAGATTTGAAATAAATCAATAAATAATGTCATTAGATACAGTTTCATACTGATTGTTCTAGCACCAATGTATTTTGTAGAAGCCTCTTTCTGCATCTTTGGCTGAAACATCCGAACAATACATTTTGAAACTCGCATCTTGAAAGTACAATGCTTTTTGAGATTTTGCTCGTATACTTGTAAAACCGCAAAGAACCACTACACATAAACAGTGTCTCTATTCCCTAAGAAGACAGTTCTGAATTGCCTATTGGCATAAATTAGCGTACCATGCACACCAGCAGTTTGTGCGTACCAGCGGTGGCATACATTACTGTTTGAGAGCCACTCCATAAAACAATTTCACATCATCAGCACTTTCTCCCTTCACTTTGGCCTATTTCCTTTCCAAATCAAACCATTACGCCGCGACTCTGCAAAGATAACAATTTATACCCACGTCATCCTCGCTAAGACTCAAACAACCCCCTCTCAAAATAACACATATAACATGCTTGTCACTCTCTGGGGACTCTTTAGCCGCAGTGAGAACCAGATGCTTCGGAAAATTAATGATTTAGAATAGCATCGGAATAAGCGGCACTTCAGCGCTTATTTAATTCACAACAAAATAGACATAATAGGCTCCTGGGGATTCCCTCTCGGCAAGCGCTGGAATGCTAAGCAGCCGGTAGGCAAATTAGCCGTGGTGGAATAGCGGCGGAGCTTTGTCTACGCTGCGTGATTTCCCTCTTGCGCACTCGTTAGCGCTCCAAGACCTGTGAACGAGAGGAGGGGGTCCGCGCATTCACTCTTCAAATTATGCAACGTCATTGAGAGAGCCATCTGAGGTTATCGTGATGTGACTGTGCGCGGCGTGCTCAGATAAACTGTCAGAGATGTGGAGGTTAAACAGGCCCAGGCGTCATGTGAGATCATTTATATGCTTGTTGGACTTATTTCAAGATGCGCAGCGTGATTTGTGAAGGATTCTATATGTCTATGGATAGATATAGAGAACCTAGATAGACCAATGAAATGAATCATGTTTTAGCCTCAGTGAATGGACTGGATTGTATGACAGACTACTATTCGTCCAGTAATGTATAAATGCTACTGCCAAAATTATCATTAAAATATTAAAGCTGAGGTGCCTAATTTTCAAACCTCAACAAAATAATCAAGTAATAAAATTAAGTTAACTGCTAACATCTAACATAATACTGAGGGAGATATCAGTTTCTGTATGCAACATTTTCACTATTTGAGCACTCATACAGTAAAACCCATCACCAACATGATTACTTGCACAAAGGCTACAAAAACATAAACGTCTGCCCTTGTATCATGCAGTGATCTTTGCTAATCTATTATTATTGCATCTTATCTTATAACTTGAGTGTCTGTAGGTTTTGTTCTCACACAGCCCATATTTCTCAATGTTCAAATACAGCTTTGAAGGTCACATGTATAAGACACAATGACATGCTTTCTCCTCCACATCTCTGGATAAACTGGCCTTAAACCTGCACTCTATAGCAGGGGTGTCAAACTCCTGCTATAGAGTGTGCAACAGCCTGCAAGATCCTTTTTAGTGGCCCCTGAAATTATTTTCAATAATCTTTATTAACAGTAACATGTAGCGTTGATGTTAATGGTTCCGCTCCAAATGGAATATTATAGTTTTTTTTAAAACCTATTGTCTCCAGAGAACAACCACATAAGTGAATATGTTCTAATATGTTAACTAAAATATAACTAGAACCTGCTCTGGCTTCAATTTCTTGATATTTGGAGCTGAACCAGAATGGCTTACTTTACTATCTCAATGCCAAACTACAATCAGCAAATTCGGCGCTAACACTTGACGTCACCTACACCTACCTACAACACCCGCCTCCCCCACTCGATGAATGGTTGGATGGGATACAACAAAGGTAACTGCAGCCACTAAGATCAGACCCAGACGTACAATGTACTAAATGATACGTGACCGGAGTTTATGGCCCCCGACCGTTTATGGATGTTTTTGAATTTGCTCTTTAGAGTGAGTTTCAGCCGCTCCACACTGGTGATTTGTTTTTCCTGTGTGTCTTTAGTTCTTGCATATCTTGTGATCTAACTAAATCGACCATTTAGTATTGTCCTCCGAGACGACTGCTGCTGTGATTTAAGGCTCTACAAACAGAATTGAAATGCATCAATTATACCTTTGACCGTCACATAGACGCTCTGGTGCGTGGACAGCTGAGGTTGCACCAGCACGTTACACGTATATTCTCCTTCATCCACATCCTTCTGCACATCAAACAGCTTCAGCGTGCCGTTGTTCTCAAAGGCCCGTTGGCGGTGGTTATATGGCAGCAGATTGGAGTCCTTGTACCACTTTATTGAATAGTAAGGGTATCCAATGACCCGGCAGTGGATGTACATGTCCCGACCAGCAATGGCAGTGAGATTTTTCATTGGTCTGATGCTGGCAGGCCCTTGGGAAACACATTGAAAGAACAACTCTCTTACATTGAATTTGAGGCTTGGGTTACACAAAATTTGTACTGTGTGATGACATGTCTTGGTTCAGTTTGGTAATAAGCAGTAAATATCCACTCGATTTAGAGAGAGAATAACTGGTTATGATCAGAAAAGTGCTATATAAAACCAATGCATTATTATTATCATTACTATTATTCTGGACATTGCAAATGATCCTTGGCTATAAATATTGTCGTGACATGTTGATTGTGTACACTTGTCCTTATAAAATAAATTAAATAATTAATATAAATTAAATAAATGAAATAAATAAAATAAATAAATATGGGTATTTCAGAGCAAATGCCTGATAGCAACTGAGAAACTGGTATACCATCCTGATAAAAATTTGGCTGGTATACAAAAAGGCTGTGTTTTATCAGGTCAATGTCATACAGACAGCAGAGAAATAAGATTAATATGCTAAAACATGCAAAAATTATATGTATTTTGAGATTGAGACTTTTGAATCCCACACAAACACAGGAAACATAGGAAAGGAATGGAGTAGAAGCTTCCCATATTCCCCTTCTATTACAAAGCCATTACTCCAGCCATTGGTGCCTTTAACTCACTTGTGAAAAACTAACAGGAGAACCAGTCAGCTAAGGTCTGTCATGATGCTGGCAATTAGGCTGCGTTTTTACATTTAGTGGGAGGCTGTTTAACTGGGCTTGCTGGTGTACTTTGAGCATGAATCCTCCTGGGTTGCATCCCTCTTTAGCACGATTAGGGAGCCAATGATGTGAGAAAAACTCATTACACTTTCTCCACTATGGCACCTATGGAGATTTATCTTCATTGCTCGAATGCGTTCAACATCCATGGACCCACGCTTTAGGGCTACAGGATCAACATGCAAGAATTAACCCAATCAAACTGGAACAATCAGGATCTAGGCTGTATCTGTGCAGCAAAGTCATTCTAATGACCACAAAGTCACTATTTCAAAACCTCTCATTATACTAAAAACATCCCACCATTTCTGCCAATTGGAACTACATAAAGACAGACTTTTATTGTTGACTGTATCACAAGCTTGTATCAAACACTATGTATGTTTTTTGCTTATATTAAGGTTTTTTTTTTGTGTTGTGAAAAAAAAAAACTGGTTCAAACTAGCAATTATCACTTCTGAAGCGGTAGCAATAGCAAGTAGTAGATTTCAAAGCATTTCATTTTGCGCTGAATGTATACATGAGTTATAGAATGAATATATTTGATTGATTGAAAAACATTTTTTTTGTAGATTTGGCTTAGAAGGAAGGTATTCAAATGGACCGATTGATTAGTCATTTTAGTTGATGACTAAAAATGGACGGTTCCTCCTTAAGATTTTGGACCAAATACAAACCAAGACATGTCTTTGTGTATATGTGAAAGTGTAGCGGAAAAGTGGATCTGACAAGCACCTCTTACGTTTATTCGCGCCTGGTAAGAAACCGTACCAGCGGAGTTGTTACAGATGCAGCGGTACACGCCTCCGTCTGGGACCTGAGTTTGGCTGATGTTGAGGTGGCTGACCACGTGGCCCTCGCTGTTGGTGTAGTGAGAGATGCGGTGGCGGCTGTCGCGGATCACAGGCTCGTCGTCCAGCATCCATGTGACCCGGGGTTCAGGAGTCCCCTTCACAGTGCACGACAGGGACACAAACTCATTGATGTTGTAGACTTTCTCGCTGAATGAGGCTAGAATCTTAGGGGTTCCATCTGAAAGCGAGCCAAAAGTTATTATTTATATGTGAACCACAACCAGATATATAATGACTTTTGGTAGTGACATAATCTAAGTCACAGCTCTATAGATAGGCAAGGAATTTAATGATAAAATCCCTCATACACATATACTTTGTTTCTCTCTATGGACAATAATAATATTGTTTAATTTTCTAATTTGCTTTTAATTTGCTGTCGCCGTTTGTCTCGACTGCTGTTGTTGTCATTTTGGGCACTATAAGAATAAATTGATTTGATTAGAATCATTAGCATTCATCCAGAGTAAAACCAGTAAATTGCATTTGTAGATAAACCAACAGAAATTCACAATAATAACAAAATACATATTTTCTGACCTTCCAAGATGACTTGAACAAAATCTTGGGCAGACATTTTGCCGTGTCTTGCAAAGCACTGGTAAGCTCCTCCATCGCTCTTGGCCATGCCGGCCATCACCAGGTTCTCCCTGAACTGGCCGGTCATGTGCACGCTGTTGCTGGGATAGATGAGCTCTCCGTTTCGGTACCATGACAACTGGTACTCCTCGGAGCCGGTCACTCTGCAGGACAGGGACACCTGGCTGCCCACACTTCCTCTCACCTTCTGTGGACTCACCTGCACGTCCAGGGGCTCTGCAACAACACACTTTTACATTCACCATGTTCTTAACAAAACTGACGCTGATACTGTCTCTGTTTACTTCTCAAAGCTGCACTACCTTTGACCAGCAGCCGGCCCACCACCTCAGCGTTGCCATAGCCGTTCCACACCTCGCACACGTACGTCCCGGTGTCGGTGGACTGGGCGCGCTCTATCAGCAGCCCCGTGACACTCTGTCTGAAGCGGGTGTCGGGCTCCAGAGGCCGGTTGTCCTTCAGCCAGCGGTACTTGGGGGTGGGGTGCCCTGAGGCTTTGCAGGGCAGCTCCACCCGGTGGGACGCCATGACCTCACGGCGCTCGAAGCTGTCCAGGATGTGCGGCGCTGAGTTGGTGGGGTCTGTTGAGGGCGCATACAGACTTGAATAATAGTCATTCTTGCATTTATAATTAGACAAACTTCATTGATCCACAAGGGAAATTACTTGGACACAGCAGCACAAATAAATTGGCAAAAAAACAAATTAAAAAGGCAAAATAGTTTGTGTCAAAAGTTGAAAACAAATAGAATATATAAAATATTAAGATTAGGAGTATATACACATAACAACAGTAATATAGAAATATATAGTATAAAATATATAAAAAAGGTATGTAATGAAAGACTTTTGGAAATGAATAATAAGCAGCATAATATGGATTGTTCCCCATTATCTTTGGCTGGCTGGATTTAACTTTTGATCAAAATTCAATGAGATTATCTCAAAACAAAAAGCTTAACTAAAATTAAAACTTCTAATATAAACAATGAACCTCTAGATTTAAACACATTAAACAACTAATCATATAAATAAGATGAAGTTGATACATTTGGATTTCTGTCGACACAGATGGCTTCTTACTTGTGACACTCCAGAGAAAGGCTTACCTAAATAAGTGGTTATTGTAATGTATCATTTCTATAGTTGAACATTGCTGTGCGTTTGCACACAGATAAACTTTTCATCATGGAGCCCATCCCCCACACGTTGCCGCAGTTGTAATGACCTTTATCACATGTCATTCCATTTTTCGTTCATGGCTCTATTCTGTCACATTCTATTTGATTCAGAGTGTCTGTTTCTGCAAGCAGCACTTTATTTCCATATGTTCCTCTGTCCACACTCATAATAACAACGTGTGGATCTAAGATCCAGCTCAACAGCAGCAAAAAACAACAAAAATGTGAGAATAATTGTACCTGAGACAATGAGGCGGGCACTATTGCTCTGTCTGGTCTCCCCTGTGTATCGATGGCGTGTCATACACCTGTAGTTGTAGAGGCCATCCTCCATCTGCACGTCCTGAATGTACAGGGCGCCCGTGGATGTGATGATAAACCGGGACACTGCAAAAGAACAGAGACACTAAGAAAGAGGATAACACTGGTATCTCATCTTTGTACAACCCTGAAAATCAAATAGAATTGTGACGCTTGATTTATTACACAGGCCGTAACATTTGAGTGTTTTTTTATTTATTTTTTGCCTTTAGCTCAAAAAGCAAGAACAAGGCTTGATTGGAAATGATTGCATCAGTTTCAGCACTGTTTCTACTTTTCCCCATTTGAGCAGCAAAGACAACCAAAGGCATCCTGAAAATCAAACAATATTGCGCAGCCAGTGTGTGTGTGCATATTTATCCAATCGTGCTGGAATAAAAGCTTATGCATTCAAAGAGGGGGAATCAAGAAAATCCAATATTGGAGCCTCGCTTTGCAAATATTTGCAAGTCAAGGGAAGAACACTGTGCCCTGCGCAATTGTAGTCACCAAACAACCCGTTTAGCTCCGAGGCGCGCTGACAAGCTGTGTGCGTCGCATGCGTTAGAACATGTCTCGTTATCATGTAGCTCATCGTCGCCGTGCGTCTCTGGGGAAGGAAAGTGGCGCTCTCTTCTTCAGTGAGCCCCATTCTCCCGCTCCAGACCGAGGCGCAGTGCCGGAGATCACAGCCTGCTTTGATACGCCAAGGCTGCGCGTAGGTCATGTGCGGCGTTATATTATTCTAATGTTATGCTAATGTGCGTGAACGAGTGGAAGCGGAGAGAGGTAGGCAGTGTTTTTGAGGAGAGGTGTGCGCATTGAGGAAGCTGTTTTTTCTTTTTCATTAGTCAGATGTTTGTAGAGGAATTACACACTAGGTTACGGTAACTGGTGTATTGTTCATACATGAGGCAACTCAAAGTGCTTCACAATATGTGTGTATGTATGTGTCCAGTATTTCCAGTAGCCCAACTTTACACTATTGCAGTACAACGATAAGTCATTAAAGCTGGGATTGTATTTGGATTTCATAAATCCAGCCAGGATCAATCCAGGATTTCATAAATTTGGATTTCATAAATCCAAATACAATCTTGGTATTTTTGAGAACATATTATGCATACATGTAAGAACAAGTCCTTTGAGTCAATATTTTGTGCTTTGGGCTGAGAGCTGATTGGATGTGTGAGGATGGTTCTCTTTTTTTCACTTTTCTGTTTGACAAAGTTGATCTATAGGGCCAAAAAAAGACATTACAATTTGAGAAAACCAAACTGTTTTGAGAGTGAGGATTCTTCAATTATTTTGTGTAAGTAGAGGGGCCCCTTTAAAATGCACACTGAATGACTTCACGTATCATTCATTACACATCATTGGCATAAAGACAGATAAACATCCGTTTCTACTTGCAAGGAGAGAATATGAAAGTAGAATACATGGACTTTACTAGTAGCTGAAAAAGTGCAATGGTGTACTGGTGCTCTCACACATGTTTACAGGAGGTGTGATATTCAGTGAGACGTGGACAAATGGGGGACAGTGAACAAGGAGGGAGTAATCCACAGAGGAGAGAGCCAGGATGGAGTGTTGACCTAGTTACTACAGAAAATCTATGAACCAGGTCTCTCTGGATTTGTGCATGAGACTCTTCTGTTTGTGGATGGAGACTGTTGGCTATTTAAGTTGAACATTTATGATTAATGATTCTGGATACAGTGTTATAACTGTTCCCCTTGATTAGTGTTTCTGTGCTTGCATGTGTCTGTGGAGGGAGCAGGGCACCCTGCGAGGCATCAGGGGTTGACAAGGTTTCTGAATGAGAGGAGCTTTCATTAGAACAGACTGGCTGTCAAGAAGGACAAAAGGCAGCTCTGCAGAGGGAAGTGTGCCAACGTGCTCATTCAAACACATGGAATCAGTGGAGGTACTTAATGTAGCTCAGAACATCCCAAACACAAAGTCCTTTACCACTTAAAGCACATGGAGTACTCTTTTTCTAACAAACATTTTCTGCAAATTTGGGTTTTAAGTGTTCTTTTCTGACACAGTGCTTCAGAACAGTACAGGACTTCAAGACAGAGTGCTGTTTTTACCAAGTCAAATCCAACATAGCATATGTGTGTATGTAACAATCTGTGTGAGTGTGTTTATGCAGCATCCAGCTGCAACACTGGTCAATAATATCGCTTGCCTGGTGCACTATGCTTCTCGCTGCTCCTCTTTGCTCTGCCTATTGCATACTAACTCAGCTCTAGAGACAGCAGCCACTGTTCCCCTGAGTGAGGGAGTGCCTGCTATGAGAATGGTGCAAGCCCACACCTGGCTGTATCAGAGTATTTGTAAAAGTATGGCTTCAGTGGAGCCCAGCTGGCTGGAGCATCGGCACGCTGCTCTTCCTCTTGCTGGCTCGCCCAGCTGCTTGGACACAAACACAAGCCTCTTTTTGTGGATCACACTCAATGGATTCAATGACTTCACATATACCAGAGCCACGAGAGCTGCAAGGAACCTCTTTGTTCACTCAGACTGAGCACTGCAGCCCCTCGCTGCTCATACAAGCGACACCTCACTTATTCATTATGACATGATTACAAAGCTATCACACAGTCACATCACAAAGCCTGTACTGCTGTGTCATCACTGCGGGTTAAAGAGAGACAAGGACAAAAGTGAAGGATCTATCTGACCCACACTGTAGCTTTTTGACCTGCTACAACTGTGCACCATCTGTCTGACACTGCCTCCAAGAACTCAGCACTGCTGCCTGCCTCATTTAAATATTCTACATAATTGAGACATGAGCACAGCAGAGGACGAGGGAGAAGAGACAGAGAGATAGGAATGAAATGATCAAGAGCGAAAGAGCACCTCTGGGATACAACCACTCTCTGTCATCTAAAATGACTAACAAATTAGCTTACAGCTTAGCGCTCCCAGTCAGGGGGAAAAGAGCCAACTTTCATATGCTAATACAGATCATGGCTAAGCAGGAGCAATTATCAAAAAAAAATTCAGCTCTGCCTGTCTGACAGATCTCAACCAGCAGCCACTACCTCTCCACTTTTCCTGGAGCTCTGTCTTAAACAGGAAGAGAAACACTGACCGAGGAGACACTGATTAAACAAAATATGTTCTAGTATGGTATTTCATGACGTTAACCAGATATGTTGTGACAGTAAAGCCACATGAGTTATCTAAGAAATCAAAGGCTGTATTTTGGCTTATAGGCAATGGTTGCCTAAGCATGTGTGGGCGACAAATACACTACACTATGGACCCTATGGGTTTGTCCTTAGTTTCCATCATTAGAGTTGATTTGTTGTTGTATCATATTCTTGTCAGAGGAGTGTGCTGTCAGAGAAAAGACTTCATGAAAACACATCGTGAACATTTGTAATTTACTGTATATCACCTACCAATTTACCTGGACCTTCAAACCAGTGTAAACAGACACAAAGTGGGTTGATTACAGCCACCTGTCAACTTGTCGGTCAGTCAGTTTGCTATATCAATTTTTATGTTTTATGAGTGGGAAGCTACCCGGCGACCGCACAAGTCTTGAAACAAAAACAAAACAAAAAGATAACTACTAATTGAAACGTTTGTTTGAGGACACATGCACTACCAACAGAGTTACACCCACCTCTACACCCATGCAGGGCCCGTGTTGCTTTTCTGGTTGGGGGAAACATGCAGAAATAGTGCGTCCTCATCATTCACCCCCTGCCGTGTGGTTGCCCTGAGTGCAGCGCTGAGAGGAGAGGATCCCGAAACAGCTGGGTCCCCCATTCACTGTAACCTTGGACTCAAAGTCATGTGCCGGAGCATCTCCAATCAACTTTAATCACTGAAAACATGACGGGCATGGTGGTTGGCTTTAATAAACTGTAACTGCCACCGTAACACAACCATATGTGCCGCCACATTGTTCTCTGTGTGAAAATGTCACACACGGGTTGTTGCCAGCTCCAGCAGAGTGGTTAATAATAAGTGTGCGCTGATGGCAGGAGGCCTGTGTGTAATTAGGCCTGGTCACAGTTATTGGCACAGGCTCTCTGCTCTGATCAACAGATAAGCATCTCTATGAGGAGGAGGCAAGGGGATCCCACCTATTTCAAGCCACTCTAATAAAAAACATTTGTCATTCTTACACCAGCCACACTGACAGCTGCTCAGGGGTTGTCATGGCAACTCACTGGCCACCACTCGCTTAGCAAGCAATATTCCCCTGTACTGTAATAGGAGGAGGACTCGAGTGCACAGTCTTTCCAAAAACAAAGCAACAGAAACACAGTTAGTAAATATAAACTTTTCAGTACTTTGTCTGAAAAGTTTTCTTTCTACCACTCACATGGGTGATAAGTGGCACTGAAATTCTTGTCGGCATTAGAACATCTGTCTAATTTCCTCACACGAGGAGAAAGCATCTGATCGCTGTTAGCAGCCTAAATTCAATCTGCTCTGACTGGAGACGAGGAAGTCCCGATTTTATATTGCTGCTGCTAATCAGCAGCGGCATCCCTCTGCTCATTAACTAGACACACACCAGCCTCAGGCTAAGCGCCTCGAATGTCAACCACAGATAAAGATGTCATCTTCTGCTCCACTGAATAATAAACCACTGTTAAAACTACATAGATGCAAATGGACACTCAACAATATTCAAATGAGAAGACAACAGGGAGCAGGGAGCCTGAGGCAATACTCCTCATCACTGTCCCTTATTCCCCAGTCACACTCTACACATTTCAACTCCTTCCATATTCATAAGAAACTATTGTAGGTTGTTATTATGAGAGCATTTCACCCATTTACAGAGCGAATGGAGTGAATGTGTTCATAGACAATGGCAGAGAACTGCTGATGTAAACAAAACAGGGCATTCTTATCAGACATCACACAGTGTCTGTAGTGAGTGTATAACAGTCTGCTCTGACAGGACGTCTCTATCCTCAAACACACTGTGGAGAAGCAGCTCCAGCACTTTCTCTACCAGACAAATGCCCCTGAATCACTGAGTGCACCACAGATGTTCTGGCCAATAATAAGATTGCAAAGTTATTAGTTAGCGCAGAATAGACCAT